CAGATGTTCTAGGAAACTGAGGCTTAGAGAAAGTTGCTTAAACATGCAATACAAGCCCCAGGCAGTCTGACTGTGGTTCTCTCTACTGCTGGGTCCGGAGAGAGTGAAGAAAGCATGAGCTTGTGTGAGACAGAAGACATTCACAGCACATCAGCAGTTCTGAAGACCCACAGGCCAGCGATGTAGCCTCCAGAGAAGGTTCCTAGTTGGAAGGCTGGCTGGTCTGGCATCACATCCAGTTGATGGTATCAGATTGGCTCCAGAATTAATACGGGCCCCTAAAAGCAGGACCAGTTAGGGGCGCCTGGGTGGCTCAGTCGGTTAAGCCTCCGACTTCCGCTCAGGTCATGATCTCACAGTTCGTGGGTTCAAGCCCCACGTCTGGCTCTGTGCTGACGGCTCAGAGCCTGGAGCCTGCTTCCGATTCTGTGTCTCCCTCTCTCTTGACTCCTCCCCCCCTCAAAAATGAATAAACATTAAAAAATAAATAAATAAAAATGTTTTAAAAAAGTTTAAAAGGCAGAACCAATTTGAGTTTTAGAAATAGATCACTCTTCCAACTCAACATCACTCATAATCAAAGGCAAGCAAATTTTTAAAAGGGAGAGAAACTATTTTGTTCTCTTTGTTAAATTGACAAAGCTTTTCTTCCCTTTGTTTTTAAACAAGATTATCCATTATTTGCAAGAGACTTTCACAGTTTGGCAATATGAACCAAACCTTCATGACCTTGACCCAGTTCTGGGAATGTAGCCCGAAGATATCCTGAAATGCAGGCACAAATATGGTTCATCACAGTGTTTCTCTCGACAGTGAAAAATGTGAACCACCCAAGATGCCAAACATTGTGCAGGAATGAAAGGGTGGGGGGTGGCTAACACAACATGGGAAATTTACACAGTGACATATGATGTCACAATTAGACAAGGAGTTCTTCACAGCATGGTAAAGTGTTAGGGGAATTAATTCAGCAAGCGATCTGAATTGCGGGTCAAAAAGAAGAGTGTGTATCAGCTTCAGCCTCTCATTCATTCATTCATTCATTCATTCATTCAAGAAATCTGTATTTAGTCCCAGCCTGAGCCATACACTGTTGGGTTCTAGAGACCTTGAAATTTAAAAAGACATTGGTCCTGAGCACCTGGGTGGCTCAATTGGTTAAGCGTTCGACTCTTGGTTTCGGCTCAGGTAATGATCTCATGATTCTTGGGGTTCGAGCCCCACATTGGGCTCTGCACTGACAATGCAGAGACTGCTTGGGATTCTTTTTCCCTCTCTCTCTGCCCCTCCCATGAGGATGCTCACTGGCTGTCTCTTTCTCACTCTCTCTCTCTCTTTCTCTTAAAATAAATAAACTTTAAAAGCAAAAGAAGACATTGACCTTGCCATCGTGGGACTTACATTCTAGCAGGAAGACAGATGTAAAGAAAGTATTACCCAGTTTTGGGGCGCCTGGGTGGCGCAGTCGGTTAAGCGTCCGACTTCAGCCAGGTCACGATCTCGCGGTCCGTGAGTTCGAGCCCCGCGTCAGGCTCTGGGCTGATGGCTCGGAGCCTGGAGCCTGTTTCCGCTTCTGTGTCTCCCTCTCTCTCTGCCCCTCCCCCGTTCATGCTCTGTCTCTCTCTGTCCCAAAAATAAATAAAAACGTTGAAAAAAAAATTAAAAAAAAAAAAAAGAAAGTATTACCCAGTTTTATAGGATGCTATGTGGTAGGTAACTGGGTAAGGAAGATTTTTAAGAGAAAGTGGCTGCTAGGCTGGGTTCTGAAGAATTTAACAGTCAAAAACTGGGGTGGTCCAGTGTACATAGATGGGCAAGGGACACAGAAGAGAGTTCCAGGCATAGGCCATGGTATTGCATGTGCAAAGGCCCTGTGTTACAAGGGGCACGTCAGAAGAACAACCCAACGAAAGGCAGAGGTCAGGGGTGGGGAGGAGAGAAATGATAGCATCTGGAGAGTCAGGAAGGGATCGACTGCAGGCCAGCAAACTTCTTCTGTGAAAAACTGAATAATACTTTCTTATAAATATTTTAGACTTTGCCAGCCAGGGGGCAAAAATCAGTGCTACTGTATATGTATTTATCTGACAAGAGTGAAAACAAATTTGCACAACATTTTTATTGATTCAATTTTAAAAATAATAATTGAGTACATTTTTTTGTAAACATACTTAGCAGTGAGAACCATGGAATATTCAGAAATGATCATATTTCGCTTAAACTAGCTGCATACTTTGCTTAATTCTCTATTATCAAAGTTGATGATAAGTATTTGTTAATGCGGGTCAACGATGAGATTTTCTGCATTTCATCTTTATAAACTTTCTTTTACACAAATAGGTATTGTCAAACACTGATATAGTCCACAACCATGTCCTTTTAATTGAGCATATTCACACCTTGGCAAGCATTTCTAGAATCCTATTCGATTTTTCTCTTGGTATTCGCCCTTTCGTACGTCATTACATCACAGATTAAGCCCTTGCCATTGAAGGCGAGATAGAAGCTTCTCAAATGCCTTGTTAAATGGATTTTGAGATATGAAATTTGCTCGGCACTTAGCCCAAAGTCCAGAACATGGGGCGGGTGCTGCCACTCAAGCTCAGAAAGTACATTCACCAAAAATGTACGTGGCCTGAGATACGGCTTCTTGTCTTCATTCTCAGCAGAATGGAGAGCATGTAAAGCGGCTTCACCCTACTTACGATTGGAACAATGTTAATTGACGTTAAAATGACTTTACCCCAGGGTAAGCTGTGCCTGTAAATGCACTTTTGCCTTGAAATTCAGGTTCCATTCCCTAAGAAATAGTGTCAGATCCATAGCAAAAGCTAATGCGCACAGCCAGGGGGGGTGTCCAGTTACAGCGACTGAGAGCGGTTCTCGTTCAGAAAAAAATGTTAATCCCAGCTCTGAGCTTGAAAGTTCACGGTCCAACCTGTCCACTGCTAAGTTATCAAACTGCTAGATGGCAGCATGGGTCAGGGCATTCCGTTTCTAGTTCTGACAAGGAAAGTGTATAAAACTGATGATGGATAAGGTTGTGGTAGCTAAAGCTGTTCATCCTGGCTCTGTAACACCTGATGGATTCTTATATTTTCCACCAAGCACCTACTGATGGGTAATACGTTAAGTGATTATAGGCTTCAGGCACCTTATGTTCTTTTTTTTTTTTAATTTTTTTTTTTCAACGTTTATTTATTTTTGGGACAGAGAGAGACAGAGCATGAACGGGGGAGGGGCAGAGAGAGAGGGAGACACAGAATCGGAAACAGGCTCCAGGCTCCGAGACATCAGCCCAGAGCCTGACGCGGGGCTCGAACTCCCTGACCGCGAGATCGTGACCTGGCTGAAGTCGGACGCTTAACCGACTGCGCCACCCAGGCGTCCCGGCACCTTACGTTCTTATGAGCTTTGTAAATTTGACCAACTAAAGCTTTCTCTGCGTTCACATACTTTTTTTTTTACCACTGTCAGTTGCCAACACATCTTGGTAGATTCCACTTCAGCTGTTCTGTGCTAGTGTTTTCTCAGCCTCTTTGAAATTGTCTTGCCTGAATTCATTTCCCACAGACTATTCCCGGAAGCCAAGTCTGCAGTCCCTTCACGCTCAGCATCATCTCAAATAAACAACTGAATGATATCCATAATACCTACCTATCAGCTCATCAGGAGCCAAAAACAAAAAACAACACCCCCCCCCCCAAATTATTTGCCTCATGTTTTAATTGATTATTGATGTTATTGTCAGTGTCATCGATTTTTCAAGCAACTGTTTTCCTCCCGAAAACGATTGTAGTCTTGAACAATTTATTTTCTCTGGACACGTTTGTTCAGCTGTTAACAATGAAACAAGGATGTCTTTAACTCACCTTGGGGCAAACTGTTTTCCTGGCTTAGCTAATACATCAGCCACTTGGAAACTTACTTGGTTTCATTATTTTTACTCAGTTTCATTTTTTTTTAATTTCTTAATGTTTATTTATTTTTTGAGAGACAGAGGGAGACAGACCATGAGCAGGGGAGGGGAGAGAGAGGGAGACACAGAGCCCAAAGCAGGCTCCAGGCTCTGAGCTGTCAGCACTGAGCCTGATGCGGGGCTCAAACCCACGAACCGTGAGATCGTGACCTGAGCCGAAGTCAGTTGCTTAACCCAGGTGCCCCTACTCGGTTTCACTTTTTTATCGTTGGGAAGAAACAATGCTACGGTGAGATCTTCGGTTTTGAATTTTCTAAATTTATGACCATGGCTTTCCTTGTGAGTTGGAAACGTGTGCTGAGGCTGAGGTTGGTGACGATGGTGTATATTGTATTCTCCTGGCACAACTGTGGTGTCATTGCATGAGAAACACAATGCTTTGCCATCTGAGTTTGATAACAGAATAGCTCACATACAACAGTGCCTTAAAAGAGCAACATACACAGTCCCTTTCCGTTTCTTGTTCTGACACGATGGTATGCGCTGGTAATGAAACATACAATGTTAGGATATGGCAACACGCACAGCATTGCAAACGCTGTTAAGTCACCCCTGTGTCCCTGTGGTTTGCAGTATGCTGAGTCGCAGTGCACAGCAATGAGAGCTGTCACCACCGTCCATCCTGCTCTTACAGCCTGGAAGCAGGCACAGACATTAAGTGAATGAATGAACATGGCTGTGTTCCAATAAAACTTTATTATGGATACTGAACCTTGAATTTCGTATAATTTTCAAATGTCAGGAGATTCGGTTCTTGGTTTGCTTCTTCTCGCCGTTGAAAAAATGCCAATGCTATTCTTGATTGATGATTGACGAGCCACACAGAAACAGGTGGCAAGCTGGATTGGACCCACAGACCATAGTTTGTCAGCCTCTGCTTTAGACCGTGTGGGGACGTTGGGGTCTGCTTCTATTCAGAAGGCCTACCTCCGGTGCATGCAAGAAAGATGTCCAAAAAGCCAGCGCAAGCCTTGGAAACACCAGTCGGGCAGGGAGTCTGAGAGCATGCGTTTTCTTGCAGGACGGTACCCGAGTCATGGGAAAATGCGGTGGCTACTGTGGGAAATGTACTCCGTCCTCTGGCACTGGCCTGGAGGTTCGAATTTTATAGTTAAGGTAAGTAAGTCCCACGTTTCTCTCTCTCTCTGTCTCTCTCTCTCTCTCTCTCTTATTTTGTAAACTCACGATTAGCAAATGTAGCCAAGTCATTTGCCCCCGGAAAGGTTACTGTTAAGCATCTTGAAACTGACTGGCTGTTCTAACTTTTTCTTTCCTGTTCATCTGCCCTGTTCATCTGTTCTCCGCCCTTGGATAGGAGGTCCCTAGGCTTTCTGCGTCAGATTCCTCTGCAGTTTTTCTTTAAAAACTTAACCAGGCTCCATCTCTAGAGGTCCTGAGGTCTCTGGCGCATCTAAGAATCTGTATTTTTGATACAGGGAATTCTGATTCAAGTGACTTACGGATTAACTTTTGAGATACTGCCCGAGAGTACTGCATTAATAATATTCATGACATTCATTGAGCTGTGACTGTGCCAGGCACCAGGCTGAACACTTTGCTGGCATTATTTCATTGAACCTCATAGTAAAGCCACAAGAGGGGTCACTTACCCTCATTGCACAGATAGAAGCTCAGGCCCACATAATTAAGTAGCTTGCTTACGATCACAATAGATTCTTTCGGCGGAACCCATCAGTGTCCTACACCAAAGCCAGTGCTCTCAATTAATGCTCTGTTCCACACGCTTGTGACTCAGCGTGTCATCCAAGGACTGGCATGATCAGCATCACCTGGGAACTTGTTGGAATGCAAAATCTCAGGCCTCCCCCTGGACTTACAAAACCAGAATCTGTATTTTAACAAATCCACAAGAGAGTCATGCGTGTGAAGGTTTGAGAATTCCTGGTCTCGCTACATTATGCTGGCAAGTGCTCCCTCTGCTGGGCAGAGGAATGAATCGGTCACTCATTTTCTGGTCCCCGCGCCTTCAGCTACAAGGTATGAGTTCAGCCAACTCATGTGACCCTTCTGCAACTTATTTCAAGCTTTCAGCAGTCCACTCTCCTGGAGGGCTCTTCAAGATCCTGACACAGGAGTACCTACTTGACATTTGTGTATCAGTGTTTCAGTTTAATTGAAACCCGTAGTCAAAACTATGATCTTCAGTTAGGATTGTTTTTATTGCAAGAGGCAACAGGAAAAAAAGGAACTTACCATCTTAAGGAACTGAGAAAGCCAAGCAGTGGGCTAGCTACAGGCATAGCTGGATCCAGAGGCTCAAACGGAGTCATCAGGACTCATTTGTTCTCCCATCAGCCAACAAGGCTTGCTTCATTCTCAGGCAGACCATTTCCCTAACACCATGAGCTGCCCCCAAATAAACGCTCACATCCAGCATTCATTCTGCACAAGGATGCAGGCTCTTGTTTGCCACATGGGCACTTCTGAACCAATCGCCACGTCCAGGAGACAATGGCCTGAACTCATGTACCCACGTGGAGTTGGGTGATTGACAGCTTCCTCTAGAAGAGGAAAGAGGCGTTTGTTACCAGGAAAGATGAGATGGGATGGAGACAGGCAAAGTCAGCAGGTGTCCACTAGAGGTTCCCAGTAAAATAGTATTGTGTGTGTTTATGTGTAGTAAAATTTGAGTGTATATATAATATTTACATGTATGTCTAGGAAAAAGACTAGAAGGAACGGTGCCAATATTTGAAAAGCATTATCTCACGTGGGGGATTTCAGGCTAGGAGTTTACTTTATTCTTTTTTTTTTTTTTTCAACGTTTATTTATTTTTGGGACAGGGAGAGACAGAGCATGAACGGGGGAGGGGCAGAGAGAGAGGGAGACAGAGAATCGGAAACAGGCTCCAGGCTCTGAGCCATCAGCCCAGAGCCTGACGCGGGGCTCGAACTCACGGACCGCGAGATCGTGACCTGGCTGAAGTCGGACGCTCAACCGACTGCGCCACCCAGGCGCCCCGAGTTTACTTTATTCTATATACTCCCCTGAAACGTCCATGTTCCTATAGCAGACATACATCACTTTAAAAATCCAGAGAAGTTAACAAGTGTCATTTTTTAAATTCTGTACGTAAAAATCTTTGGCTTATCTACTCTTGACTTACCGCAGTTGATACGGGAGATTTACTTTTCTTATTTGGTTTGTTTATTTCCAGGTGCTCTGAAAAGGAAGCCATTATGGGATGGATGAAGGATAGTAATGCAATACCTCCACCTTAAATTTGTGTGCGTGTGGGCGTGTGAGGACTTGTATGAGTGTGTGTGTGTGTGTACATATGCACATATATACATATATACACACACACACACATATATATATCTGTATATATGTGTGTGTGTGTATATATATGTGGAATATCCTAATGATGTAAAGTTTAATATTTATGTTTGAAATTATTTATTGTGATGTAATATTTTTGTACGTAAAATGATTCTATTATGACTGCTTTTTGCATTATGTTGTCCCCTGCAGTCAAATCACTGCATTTTACGTACTCTACATTATATGTAGTACTATGACAGAAGTGATCCTTCATTATCACGGTACACTATTGTTTACTTTCTATCTGTAAATATTTTATTGTGACCTTTCCGAAATTGTAATTTGCCTTTTTAAAACAACCTAGCTGCCATCAAGGTGCTACAGAGTCGTGTGAGTGTATTTTGGCATTTCTAGGAAAGTATCCGCCAACAAGTAATTTAGCGATGTCACAGATTGTACCAGCCATTAGTTATGTTAACTATTCAGTTTCATGTGATCTCTGGGAAAAAAAAAAATTGCTGCCTTGGTGCTATATAATGTATATATTTAAGTGATCACCAGACTCAGAAATGTAAACACGTTTAATAAAAGGGAGGCATAGAAGGACAGAATGCGACGGACAGAATCACTTGGAAAAGCAAGACCACTTGTTCTTATTTTTGGACACGCTTGTTTTGGAAGAGGATTGGACTCTGTTCTTTTTGTTACTGTTATTAATACTTTGCTTCAGTTCATGGTGCCTAGATCTCTCTGAAGTTAAATGGAGGAGACCCCAAAGCCACTGCATTACAGAGTGATATTGAGAAAGTGAGATCCTCTCGACATTTTGCCGAGACGTTCTATAATGGTGTCCCCGTTTATCAGCTGCAAGACAGGATGCTCAGGATGGGGTGACCTTCAGCACCCCCAGCACACCTGGAGAAGTTCAAAACCAGTTCCTCATCATTAGGACTGCCTTCTGCCTAAATGCATTGACTGGTGACATGACTTTTCTTCAGGCCATGAGCCTGAGACCCTGCCAGTTCATGGCTGCTGCAGTAATTAGTTAGCATTTGTGAGAAGACGTAAACCGTGGAGTGGAAGACACCTGAGTCTTTCCAGTCTTCCATTAACCCACTCTTTGTTACTTATGTCCAAAATGGAAGTCCTGAAGTCAGTGTCTCTCAGCCCTTCCAACCTGATTGAAGGGGAGTCATTGCCAATGACCCGTGGCAGACGTTCAGTGTTTGAAATCCTGCCCGCGTCCAAAACCCAAAGAGATTAGCAAGAACCTGGGAGTATCCTCCAACCCCAAACGAACTCCAGAGTGCTCCATAAGAAGTTATACTCAGTGTATGAATAAGTGTTATTCTCCTTTATTAATACATTGTGAAAATATACTATGAATAAATACCATGACCACATCCAAACATTTGTGTTGGTTTCTGGACTCTTGATTCAACTGGGATTGAAAATATATCTGTTTTTGTTTTTTTTTTTAAGGTTGCCGGGTTGAGAAGAAATGCACATTTTCTTAATCCCATCCATTACAGTTGCCATTCCAGAGGTCAATAAGGGACAGGGTCTGTCCCTCAGGTCTGCGTTTTCACCCTTCAAATCACTTGTCTCTTCTGAAAGAGTCTGTGTGATGGGGAACAGATGAACAAACAAAACAGGAGATTTCAGTGGGTTTAGGGGCTTGATTGTCGATTTTATATAGCAGTAGTTTCTACTCTATGGACTTAATGGTGTCCAGGGATATGAAAGCTTTCCAAAGAAGTCTAATAAACAGCAAATAGTAGGTCGCCAGCCCCTCTACGTAATTGGTTGAGCTCATCCTGACAACCACCAAGTAGATGTTCACGTACAGCAAATAAGTAGCCGTCCCCAAAAGAACCCTGTTTGGCTCTGATGGGGTTACACATCCACTTCTGGACAAGTCATATTGTTGAGGGAGCTGACATCCTGTACCACCTAGGGCCGGGTGATTGACAGCTTCAGCTGGAAAGGATGGTTCCTGGAGGGAAAGGTTTGTTTTCAGAAAAAGGTAGGTAGAATAAAGACAGACAAAAGCCAAAGGAATCCACTCCAGAGTCCCTGTGTGTGTGTGTGTGTGTGTGTGTGTGTGTGTCTCCATGCACGGGCAAACTCAAATCCCATAGCTCATACCAGCCACAGTCCCACCCCTTATCATCCCTAAGCATCATCTAAGACTTGGGTTCTAGGCCTTTCTCTGACATATATTAACTGTCTGATCCTGAGCCTTAGTTTCTTCATTTGTAAAATGAGGCTATTGTTAGTCCTACCACTTACTTGTGAGATGCTTTTCTGAAGACCCTGTCAGCCCTGCATCAATGGTGGCAAACTAGCTGCCCTCAGACTCTGCATCAGCAAGCTTAAACTGATTTACAACAGTGAGACATGAGCTATTTCAGTTAGGAACTGCGTTCTGCTGCTAATTTCAGAGCCCTGACGGCAATGGCTTACAACATTAGAGAGTGTATTTCAGGGGCGCCTGGGGGGCTCTGTCGGTTAAGCACCCAACTCTGGCTCAGCTCATGACCTCACAGTTCTTGGGTTTGAGCCCCCGCCTCAGGCTGTATGCTGACACCTCAGAGCCTGGAGCCTGCTTCGGATTCTGGGTCTCCCTCTCTCTCTGCCCCTCCCCCGCTCACTCGAGTGTGCTCGCGTGCACTCTCTCTCTCTGTCTCTCAAATATAAATAAACATTAAAAAAATTTTTTTTAAGTGTATTTCACTGCTTTGTAAAAGAAGCCTGGAGATAGGCAATCCAGGGCTGGTATGGCAACTCCACAAAATCATCAGGGACAGAGGTTCTTTAATCTCCTCCCCTCAATCCTCCATAGTTCAACATGGCTGCTAGGGCTCTAGCAATCACTCCCAAATTCCAGGCAACAAGAAAACAGAAGTGGAGGAAAAGGGTAAAAAGCGGCCTGGTCCCAACTCTCTATTCTTCTTTTAATTTTTTTTTTCAATGTTTATTCATTTTTGGGACAGAGAGAGACAGAGCATGAACGGGGGAGGGGCAGAGAGAGAGGGAGACACAGAATCGGAAGCAGGCTCCAGGCTCTGAGCCATCAGCCCAGAGCCCGACACGGGGCTCGAACTCACGGGCCGCGAGATCATGACCTGGCCGAAGTCGGACGCTTAACCGACTGCGCCACCCAGGCGCCCCTCTATTCTTCTTTTAAAAAGGTGTTTCATGGGGCGCCTGGGTGGCGCAGTCGGTTAAGCGTCTGACTTCGGCTCAGGTCGTGATCTCGCAGTCCATGAGTTCGAGCCCCATGTCAGGCTCTGTGCTGACAGCTCAGAGCCTGGAGCCTGTTTCAGATTCTGTGTCTCCCTCTCTCTGAGCCTCCCCCGTTCATGCTCTGTCTCTCTCTGTCTCAAAAATAAATAAAGGTTAAAAAAAAAGAAATAAAAATTTAAAAAAGGTGTTCCAGAAACCGCGTTTAACAAATTCCCCTTTAGCTCCTCAGCCAGAAATTAGTCACGTGGCTGCAGCCAGGCTGCAGGAGCAGTGGGGGGAAAGGGTTGCTTCTCAGAGCACACTGCCAAACCGAATAAAAGGAGGGATCTGTTCCTCCAAAAGAGCGCAAAATGAGTCTGAGAGAGGCAACTAAAAGTCTGTGACAGGTTCAAGTAGAGAGATTCGAGGGAGTGGTTTAGAAGCAGTTATCACCAAGGAAGCAAGAGATGATAGGATCTGGGCTAAAGCTGCGATCATCGTAATAGTAGAAAATTACAGCGTGATCTAGGTGGTGAGATTGACAGGAGCTGACAGTGGATAGACTGAGGGTGGACTGTGGGAGAGAAGGCACTGGTAAGGGTTCAGAGGCGAGGTTTCGTTTGCTTGCAAATACAGCCAGGGTGATACAAGGCTGAATGTGTAGATGGCTGAATGGACAGATACGATCTTTTAGAGTCTGTTAATCTTTTACATTTTTATAGCACTATACAAATTAAATATTGTCTTTCTATTCTTTCATTTATTTATCTAAGTAATATTTATTGCATACATGCGAATTTCCAGGCGTGTTCTGGGCTCTAGGGGTGCACATGCGAATTTCCAGGCATGTTCTAGGCTCTAGGGTACAGGCTAGAGGCTGTATTGGTCCACTAGGGGGCGCCATAACACAATACCGCAGAGCGTGTGGCTTATCCAATGGAAATTATTCTCACCGTTCTGGAGGCTAGAAGGCCAAGCTCCAGATGTCTCACCTGGGTGAGACCTCTCTTCCTAGCTCATAGACATCCCTTTTCTTACTGTGTCCTCACATGGGTTTTCCTTGGTGTGAGGGCTGAGAGAGAAAGAGAGATCGCGATCTTTGGGGTCTCTGTTTCTCCTGATGAGGACATCAGTCCGATTGGATAGGTCCCCACCCTTATGACCTCATTTATCTTTGATTACCCCCTTACAGGTCATGTCTCCAAACACAGCCGCATTAGGACTTCAACCTATGAATTTTGGGGAGACACGTATCAGTTCCTAACAGAGGCTATAAGGAAGAGATCGTAAGTTAAGACGGATATTTATTGCTCTCTCCTCACCATGCAGAGGTCAGATCCGGTTGGGGAGTCTGTTCTGTATGTCATCGGAGGACTTGGGCTCCTTCTGTTTTGCGGCTTAGCCATTCTCGCAGGTGTGGTTCTGAAGTGACTTGTCCTCACCGCATCTGAGTTTAGCCTGCAGGAAGGGGGCACTCATTTCCAGGCAAGATCTGGAAGTTAAAGGACTTTAATTCACCACCTACTGGCAATTGCTTCGATGCACTGCCTTGTCTAGCTGCAAGGGAGGCTGAGAAACGTGCTCTCTAGTGGGTCAACCGCACACCCAGCAAATGCCACGTGGAGGTGGGGGTTCTGTCACTGAAAGGATATAGGGAAGGGTGGCTGATGGGCAAAATGGCAGCTTCTGCCAGCCGCAGTGAAAAAAAGACCTGCCCTTCGGCGCTTACGTTGTAGTGGGGACAGGTGGAGAGGAAAATAAGCAAAGACACGACCAAAGCACTCCACAGTCGTTTTCCGGTAG